TAAGCTGTAAGTACATGACTGGGATTGAAGCTTGACCTGGTCTTCTTTGCACAATCATTTTAATATATTTTGAGTAGCATCAGTTACTCTACAACAAAGTTTAGAAAACCTTGATGTACACATATGCAGAATTATACTTAGGATATAAGATTTGCAGCACTTGACTTCCCTCATCTAAGTCATCATTTTTCCCTATTTCACCACGCTCAGTCCATTTCAAGCAAACTACAGCATTTCCTATTGTCATAAGAAGCTAGAAAGAAACCCTTGGACTTTGGAGATGAATAAGGGCCCACAAAAGAAGACTGTCGTCTGAGGGTGAAGGAAATCCCACAGGATCTCTGCTTCTCCTGGGAGTGAGCACCCCTTGCATTTTGCTGCCCCAATCTTTACCTGCTTTCATGCCATCACCATTGACTGCGGCAATCTCAGTACAGCAGGCATTGTACACAGCAAGCAACTACAAAGGCAGCAAGCCTGATGTTACAGCATCCCTCAACAGCAGTAGAGGAATTTTAACATTTATAGAGTAAATACCTGAACTGAGGGCTCAGCTTCCCCACATGCCGTGTCCCCTCTAATCAGGATGAATGGGCAGTGATGGTCAGGAAGGGTCCACGACTACTGGAGACAAGCTACACACTCTTGTGGAACTGCTACAACTTTGGAAAAGACCTCACGGTGGGCTCAGTTTGGTGTAACTTTATTTGGCACCATCTGTGACTGTGTACTTACTGAAAATGAGGTGTTTTCTCATTCTGCTGGATGAGAACAACAATGAGAAGCCATGTCATGGTACATCATGGTAATGTTTCACACCACAAGATAAAAGTATCCTTCCACATTTATTTTCCAATTACTAAAGAGAGATTTGGGCTTGTCTGGCATTCAAATAATCACTGATCTTCAGAGAAAAACCCCCACAGACTAGGTAATCATGACTAAGAGAAAGGGAGAACTTAAAAATACATACATACACAAAGACAAGAAACATGTCAACACCACTTTACCACTTTTGTATTTTATTGTGGAACTGAGTTTGATTCCTTTACATCAAATATCCTCAATGGAAGAGGGGATATTGCACACAAATATCATAAAAGCACTACATATTACTTTCACTGGAAACTAATTTTCTACATTAGATATGACTGGATAGAATAGAAGTGATGCAGGATTATAAGACATAATACCATACACAGCTGCAGACTGACACAAACACCATTCAGAACAAGAGAGAGGAGGTGTGTGAGGTGCTTCTCAGCCAGCCACAAGACTTTCTTTCCATAGTTTGGAAGATAATGGCTGCATGCAAATGCGTGAAAGCATATTTCAGATTTTGTCTTTTACACTGAGATTACAGCCCAGTCTTGAAGAGGTAGCTCCTGCCTTCTGGAGCGCTTAGTTAGCCTAGTAGAGAGAAGCTGTTTCTTAAATTTTTTTTCTTTCTATATTTTATGCCATTGTTTTATCTAGTTACTCTTTTTTTAAATTTTTTTGTAAAGTCACAACAAACAAGAGTTTTTTCTTTTTTTTTTTAATTTTAAATAGCAAACATTTTTAAACCAGGTGAATTATATAATTGCATTCTAAGAAATGCTTACCTCTAGTTGATTTTAGTGTTTTGTTCAATTATTAAGTGAAAAGATGAAAGCTTTTCTTTCAAGTGTAAACATTATATTTTTTCATATTCTAGTAAATCCAGACCAAGAAAATTACTATTTCTCTCAAAAACGTCACTACTGAGCAAGAACCTCTGGCGACAGATGAACAAAGAGAAGCGCATGACAGAAATGTTCCAAATGCACAGCAAGTGCCCTTTGGAACTCATTTGCTTGTGTTGGGAGGGATTGAAAATTCAATTAACAAATTTATTAAATCTTAGTAAAAGAGTACCAGAACTCTCCTAAAATGCATAAGCTATCATAGACAATTAAAAAAACCTCAACATTCATATACACAGTTATCTCCATTCACCACAGTATGTAAAATAAGTAAAAAAAAAATCAAAAGTGATTTCTATGAAAGATGGGGTGAAAATAGAGGTCAATGAGTCAGGCCCACCACAGGACTTTGAAAAGGCATGCAAGAGAGGCCCTGTCGAAGTTCAAGAGTGGGATGGGATCCCCAAAGTTAATTCTTCATTGAATTATATGAAGCATTATATTAATAGCATAAAGATCATGACTGGGAATGCTGTTATGGGTAATACCATCATTGAAATGGAGTGTTCTTTGCACTCAGATATTGAATCTTTACAATTAGAGTAATCAATAACAAACCATGCTCCTAGAAATCTATGCTGATCAACAGCACTCATCGTTAATGTACACAGTACATTTTGATGACTGTTACACTAAACTAGTTGTGTAGTACTAGGATTAGCACAGGTAGATTAGATCCACAGGCAGGAAAGTCATTAAGGGCAAGAGGAGCCAATGGAGAAGCTCATTGCTGTGTTGAATCTAGGTGCCATTGCCATTTGGAAGGGAGTGGATGGAACAGGCATTACAATACCTCAGAATTGCCAGACCACAGTTTTAATATCCTTGTAGCAGCAAAAAAAGCAAATGTACATGTAACTGTCTAATCATCATTATTATTTCAGAAGTAAAACAAATGTTTCAGCCATCATAAACTTGCTTGGGCATATTTAAGGCTTGATTCCAATTTAATTTACAGTAGGATCAGATGACTGTAACTTCCCTGACAGTAGTGAAATTGCTCCTGATTCACAGGAGTAAGTGGCATAAGTGAGATTAGTCACAAAACCACTGCTGTACTTAAAACAAGTTTCTACCAGAGCAGAGATACAAACCATTTCAGGTGTTGTCAGAAAATCAGAAAATCTGTTCCCACCCACTCAAAACGTTTGAATTCTGAACTATATAATAAAATAGATAAATCAGAAAGAATTGTAGAAACAGTACAACTGTTCTGCCAAAATTTTGCAGAACATATCTGCAAAATTATACAACATAGTCTGCAAAGATATCCCATATCTTTGTAGACTATGTATTACAAAAGCATTTTTAAGTGAATGATATGAGCCCAGCAAAAGCAAACATGCTTGTTTTCACAATACATTTCCATCTGCCTTTTGTGCCATAGTCACTCTGAGTTATTCTTAATGACTTAAAAGGTATAGCAATAAATAAAACAGGATTGCTAGAGAAACCAAAAAAAAGAGAAGACATTAAAAATAAATCAAAACCCCAACCACTGACAAACAGAAATTCACAGCATTAAATGGGCAAGAGAAGCCCACATTTACAAGACCCTAAACCAGTATTAAAAACCCTCATAAAAATTAGGAGTGCAAACTTACACCTATTAAACAAAAATATCCTAACAATGTAAAATTGAAATAAATTATAGGTAGAGAAAATAAAATGAGGTCATAGTTCACTACATTGTAAAACTTAACAGCCATAATGGTGATTCATACAACCAGCACATAACTCCGTGCTGTATGCCTTCGCACCTTCTTAAATTCAGATTTGCAGACCTTCTGCCATACAACAAGACTTTTTAATTGGGGTAAAATTTCTGAGACTAAAAAATCCAAACTGTCTTAAATCACAAAGCAGTTGTGCTGTTCTTCTGCAAGCAGACTTAGAGAAGGAAAAGAAGGGAGACATGAAGAAGGAAAGGAAAGCAAGAAAAAAAGAATAGTAAAGGAAGAGTCAATGAGAGGAAGAGGAAAGGAAGTGAAAGAGTAAAAAAAAGAGGAAATGAGAGGAGGAGAGAGGAGTAAAGGAAAGAGAAGGAGGAAGGGAAAGAATAGAGGAAAGAGGAAAGCAAAGGGGAAGAGAAGGGAAAGGAAGTGAAGGAAAAGGGACGAGAAAGGACTTTTAGCTTATTGCTTGTTCTATCCTCTTCCAAGATCTTGTGAGGGTTGAGAATGTAGGTTATAACCTTTAAGTTGATTGGACAATCAACTTCTCAAATCCCATTTTCTGTCACCATCAACAGAATAATTTTATGAGGGTATCCTTCCATATCCGTCTCCTGAAAAAGGTGTTGACAGTTGACTGTTTTCAATAAATTTTACCTCAATATCAATTCTCACTAGAATCTTAAACAACACTACTCATTTATCTTACAAAACTACTAAAAAGAATGCCTTCACCTGAAAAATTTTTCTTTGCATTTACCTGTAAATGAAAATGTTTGTTACAAATCATGTATTAAAAGTTCATGCAGCACTAAAAGGAAAGGCTTCTGTACATTTGTTCCCATGTTCACTCTTAAATTAAACAAATAAAATCAGCTAAGACAAAGGAAGGCTGAATACTGTACAGGCTCACAGGTAACCTTTTCCATCATTCTGAATGTTTCACTAAGTTTTGTAACTCTGATACTAGACACCACTTCAATCTTGCTTCCACAGTACAAAAGGTGCCTTCACAAAAAAGCTCATCTTGCCTTGTTGAGCTGTCCAGGTGCATCTATGAAGTGTTCACATAACTGATATATGTAATTCATAGCACCAAACCATTTGACCAGTCAGATAAGTTCCTAATACCACACATGCACACTCGTGCTTCTTTACTGGTGTAACTATGATCCTACACAGATGTTTTATAAATTTGCTGTCTCAGCATTAAAAAATAAGTGCATCAAGTTTCTTTGTACATTCAAGTCACTTTCTAAGGCAAATTGTCTACTGTATGTACTCCCGACCGCTTTGGTATTTTGCTTCATTTAATCGACAGTGGACATGGGTGTTCAAGCATGTGGACTGGTCAGTTCTGGCTGGAGTGAGTGGGCTTTCGCTGGAAGCATGCCTTAGACCAACAATTCTGCATGTTGTAAGGTTTTATACTTCTGGATGGGGTGCAGGCTACATGCATATTTGGCCTATGGTTGTTATGGTGTGTCAGTATGCAGAGTTCAAATTAAAGTGGAAAGCTGCTGATGAGTGATTAGGTCATACATCCCTTCCTAGCCATGTTCTCTTTCATTTTATGTTTGAGCTAACTTAATTCTTTAAAAAAAGGATCCCCATAGTGATAGCTCATATTGATAAAAATTCAAAACTTTCTTCTCATGTGAGAACATAAGCAGACTGTACTAAGCGATACATCTATTGCCATGAGACTAATGCAGACCTAATAATTTACTACTTTCTCCTCCTACCCCGCTCTCTCTTTCTCTCTTTGTGTTTCTTTAGAGGGCAAATGCCTCTACCTGGCAAAAGTCAATTAGGGTTGCTAGTGCATGGTTTCAAAACGTTCAGTGGAGATGCAACTGGATCTGTATTTTTGCAGTAATTTGTACTCTACTATGGGAAGACTGTTATTTTCCCTTAGCAACCAACAAAGACTGAAAAATATATTAGTGATTTGCATCACTGTGACACAGTATAGCATTTGGCAGGTGTATAGTTCAGCAGTTGAAATAGATGACTTGAATTTTCAGGAAAGGTGTTTTTATACTGAAGAATTTCTGGAAACAAAGTTTAATCTTGTAATGCTCGGTCTTGTTCTTACAGTTCAATCTTGCATGCAGGAAAAGACTCATCTTGCATAACAACAGTGCTGCTGCTTGCCAAAACCATGATGTTGAGATCCTGCTGTTTCTCATGGGTCTCTTGATACCATTCCCTCATCACTTCTGAGTCATGGGTTGGGATTAAAGTCACCTGCAATATGAAATAAAAGTCCTATTGAATGGACCACATAAACAGTTGGTACGCAAAATGTCTTTTTAAGAAGCCCCAAAAAGTATATTTCCCTTTTGGAAAGAGTGAATTTTTATGCAATAAATACTTGACTAAATGGATGGATAAAAAGAAATCAACATGTAGGTAAGGCAGAATGACTGAAAATAAGGTTTATGAAAATAAAATGTTGGTTTTGTAAGGTGCTGTTATAAATAAATATGTAGTTCTTGGCTTTCACTATTATGTATTGGCTTTTTCAAATTATTGTTAATCATTGCGATTTTGATATAGTACAATTTGTAATCACTTTTAAGTGCATTTAATATAGTATAATTTGTCAGCTTTTTCTGGCCAGTGCCTCGGTCCCTGTGTAACTTGTATATTTTAGTGTGACAAACATAAATTATAGTTTAGGCTTTTGCAAAATATTAAAGTGGATGCTATGCGTTACTTTGCAGAAGTAACTGTAGTTGCAGAATAATAATTAATGCCTTTATTTTTGTAACTAACTGACAGAAGTGAGAATAAGACATGAATTTGTGAAATAGGTAATGTTGATTTAAAATACTTGTGGAAATAGCTAAAATGGTCTGCATGGTCAGATAACATTTGAGGAACAGATGTAAAGACCCCTGCCACTGACTCTTTGACTATTAATCACTGTTGCCTGCTGAAACCACAGAAGTGAGACACGACTCTCAAACTCACATCCATGATTACTGCACAGACTCTAAAAAGATGGGTCAGGGTTCGAACCAAGCTAAAGAATCCCCAGAACATGTAAACAAGTTTAAAGAAATGTTTGAATGTGTTTAACCTTTACAAATATGTATTTGACTAATGCAATGAAAAAGTACATAAGAAGACTTGCTATGATTAGCCAGTGTGCCTCTAGCTATGGCTATGCACCCATCGCTGTTTACTGTCCCTTTATCCCTTATTAAACTTTTAAAAATGTTGAAGAGTGGAGCTCGTTTCTCACAGTGCTGAGATGCAGCTTTCAAGAGAAGTATAACGTTGTAATCTGCACTGATAACTCTTCAGATTACAGACTGATATTTTGTTCACTTATTCATCATAATGGAAAGGCATTACATGCATTTTCACACATTTGGAAACATCAAGTTTCCAAATGCATGTAATTACTCTATAAAGTGTGAAACATTTCTTCCCTCCTTAAAACTGCAACAATGCCAAACTCAGATCATACATGTGGTGCAGTAAAATTATGAGATGGCCAGCTGGCCCTATAAGCCAGTTCTCAGCTATTTTATAAACCAGGAATTGGTCTGAACGGAGTGCAGTGCAGCTCTGTGCTTCACACATCATCAGTAGTTTCACTGGTGCCCAGTCTGGGGGTCTGCTGGGATTTAGGATTCTTCCTTTTGTTTCTTTCTTTCAAGGAATGTTCTCCCACACATGTTGGTAGGAGACAATAATGATGGGGTATTTAAGAGAGGCAAAAGAAGTTGCCATACCTCAGGGGAAGAGTGCAGCTAGCTATTCTCTTTTTACCTGGGGGTTTAGCTGGGAAGGACAGAGATACTGGGAGAATTGGTCTGGGTGAAAGGTGTTGTGTGCAGGTCCTCTTTCCTCTCATCATATTCTCCATTCCGAAGGAGGTTCCTGCCTTCCTTGGCACACATCTGTCTTTCAAACCAAGACAGGGCCCCATTCTCTGGCATCTGCCATCCCTGCCAGAGGTGCTCCAGTTTCTCATAGCTGAGAAAGGTTAGATTTCCAGGTTGAGATGAAACGAAATAGAAATGAAGAGCCTACCTGCATGTTACTCTCCCACTGCGCCTTGCCCTCCAGCAGGGAGTCCAGAACAGCCCTGCTTGGCTCCTCGGCCGCAGCGTCATTCCCGCTCACCACATAGTAGGATGACCGCACCCTCTTGAAAAACTCAACATCAACATTCTTGCTGTTGCTGTGGTTGGGAATGTACACCAGATCCAAATACACTGGAGGTCCTGGAGGCACTGCTGTAGATTTTGCCACCTTAGTATTCCCAGGTCCTGTGGAAACCAAACAGCAAAAGAATATATCACAGGCTGGTTAAAAACATGCATTTATTAATTAGTGTTATAACCACTGAAGTGAGATGTGACCAATTATGGAATTACCCTCCTACATATAATGACATGTTACAGCTTTGTTGTACCCCAATTATGATTGTAATGGAAGGAAAAACCTGAAAAACTGGAACTATATAATACAATAAAAAAATCACTACCTTATAACAAAAATTTGGCTGAACCTTTTCCAGTAATATACTACTATTATGCAACAATTACTATACAGGGCTGTGATTACTGAATTACCATTCAGTAAATGGTGCTATTATTTTCCTGATGAAGTGCAGCTTTTTGAAAGTCTAGGGTATGACCGATTGTAAAATCTAGTATCACACAGGAAGCCATGAAAATCTGAAGCTGTCCTGAAATCAGGTACACAGCAAGACATTATAGCAATTGATGTGCTCAGGCTGCCTTAGAGATGCATCAGAAAGCTACTACACGTGAGCACAAAGAGGGTCAAAGAGGAACTTGGAAGGAGAAAGTTGCCAAGCAATTCAAGAAACAGAGTCAAGTATTTGTCTGCCTGCTGTATCCTTATTTGCATACACAAATTAGCCACTTATTGCAAAAAAGTAGGGGGAAGCCTTCCTTTGCTGCTGTACATAGTATATACAGTACTTGCTCTAGGAAGAAGAGCTTCAGTCAAAATGAAGTGCAACATGTAAACACATTAAAACTATTACACAAAAAATCACATCTTTTGCTCTAAAATCATGGTGTAAACTAAAAATCAGGCTTCAGCCAGTAATTTTACCCAGATGATCAACATTTGTGGTTTATTAGCTTTCTCATGTTGATTAAGCTTGGTAAACAATTATCTGAGCAATATGATCAATTTAGGGTCAAACAGCTGAAGTGCTGCAGAAATGCACAGCATGAATAACTACATTGCTGCTTTGAAATGTATATTCTGACAGACAAATGCAAATGAATGGTGTGAGAAGGGAACAGTGGACAACCAAATACGGGGAACCTAAGGACAGTTGAATACTGGCTTGTTTGTGCTGAATCCTAGAACTGCTCCTTGTAAAAAAGCTTTCAACAGAACATCAGTCCTCACAGCAGAAAAATCAAAGTATCCCCCAATAGTCCCCAACAAGGTCTGCTGGAAAGAACAGATTACTGCAATACCTCCTTCAGTAATCTAATTCACAATTTTTAGCTATTTAGAATGTGCAACAGACATTCAAAAGTACAATAACTTCCTGTATGTTTAGTCTTCAGTGATGGCATAAAACCAGATTATGTGATGTATGTGCCTACTTCACTCAAAATGCTTTTACTAACGTTAATTTTTTTTAAATGCTGCTTTTAAAATCAATCCAGCAAAGTAATAAGAGCATCCAAAGAGAGACAGTAACTTTGCCTCCTCCAATATTAAATTGCATTAATTTATGTTAAAGAGAATTGTATCTACTTATTTCTCACAATGAATAAGGCTCCACCTTGCTACTGATTTTACTTCACCTACAAAAGTGGTACTTTCAGTTCTACTAGGTGGTTAACTGTTTAGACAGCTTGTATTAAATTCTTTCTATTTCATTACTCTCTGGGCAAACTGACATCAATTTTCTTAGATTATAGAAGTAGAACTAGTGACTTTCATGCATTTAAATGTGGCATTTAAATGCTGGATTTGTACTTAAAACCTGAACTTTCTTTGAGGATATGACACAAACCACACTCTCAGCTGATATAATGGCAAACTAACTACGCTGCAACAACTAAGCAAATCATAACAACAGGGCATTACTATTTGTCTTTACCTGTGGTTGCAGTCTTTGCCGACTTGGATGTTGTTGTATTTGCTGCATTCTTTGTATCCTTATCTTTCTCTTCCACTCGAGACTTCAGCTCTGGATTAGAGATATTTTTGGTTGCCTTCTCCACAGATTCCTTCTTTTTTGGAGAAGCTGTTCTGGAAATTTTGTCTAAAGATTCTTTTGTAGCTGGCTTTGGTGAAGCCACTTGTTTTGATTTACCATCACTTTTTTTAACAGGAGAAGATGACTTGGTCTTGGTACCCTGCTTTTTTGTCTTTGTCTTTTCTTTGAGGTCCTTCTTCAAAGGTTTGCCTAAATTCTGTTCAACTGGCAGAGCCTCTGGATCAACCATGGTAACATCAGGGTGCCTGGGGGAAGGGCTGCGATCCTGCATAGGGACAGGTGGTGGGTCAATGTGTTTGTAGGTAATTGTCTTGTCCGTTGGAATGGTTTCTGACTCATCTTCTGAGTCAATGTTAGCATCTGCAGTGATGGAAGGGCATTCCTCAGTCTCCGGGGGAACATCCGAATCGGTCTGAGATGGGGCAGACTCGCTCACAGATGTGGGAGGAGTTTCATCACACTGCCGTCCTTGCGGCTTTCCCCCAGAAGGAGGCTGAGCTCCCCCAGACTGAGTTAGTGGCTTCTCTTGATCTTGAGACTGTTCTTCACTTGCAAACCACTCAAGGGGATTTGGGTTGATAAATGAAGGTGAAAGTTCAGTTTTGGGATGTTTATATTCACAAGAAGACACAAGGCATAAGTCAACATCTTGACGGGATTCTGCTAACGATTTACTTGGAGTAAAATGTGCACTTGCTTCATAGGAATAGCCGGTAGCTTCAGGTGACCTCCCAGGGGTAGCTCTCCCAGTTGTCTCAAACGAGTAATCTGTGGCTTCAGGTGAACTGGAGGCTTTCTCAGCTGTCTCATAAGAGTAAGTCATGGCCTCTGATGACCTGGTGGTTCTCCCAGTTGTCTCATAGCAGTAGCCAACAGATTCTGGTGACTTAGAGGTTTTCCTTGTTGTCTCATAGGAATAATCCATAGTATCGGGTGATCTGGTAGCTTTCCCAGTTAACTCATAGGAATAATCTGTGGCTTCAGGTGATTTGGTGGTTTTCCCAGCTGTCTCATAGGAATAATCTGTGGCCCCTGGTGACCTGGTGGTTTTCCCTGTTATCTGATAAGAATAATCTGTGACCTCAGATGACCCCATATTTTTTGCAATTATCTCGTATGAATAGTCTGTACCCTCGGGTGACCTAGTAGTGTTCCTGGTGATCTCATAGGAATAATCTGTGGTCTCAGGAGACCTAGTAGTTTTTCTGCTTGTCTCATAGGAATAATCCATGGCTTGAGGTGATCTAGTAGATTTTCCGACTGCCTCATAGGAATAGCTGATATTCTCTGGTGACCTTGTACTTTTCTCTCTGGCCTCATATGAATAACTAAGTTCCTCTGGTGACCTGCTGCTTTTCTCTGAATCTTCTTTATCTGGGCTGAGCAAAGGTTCTGGACTGTGCTTTGATAGGGGTTCCTGATAACCAAAGGCTTTGACAGAAGACACTCGTTGTGACAACAAAGGTGTGTGACTAGCTGACACTGCTTCTGTGATTGCAGGAGGTGAATCTGGAAAAGTAGGAGAATACAGGGGAGAAGATTCCCTTGGAGTTAGTGGAGACAGGTCAGATTTTGGTGACAGCTTTTCTCCCAGGCTCTGCACCTTTTCTGAGGTAAAAGAAGAATGCAGTGACATCTCTCTGGGTGGAACACCACCTGAAAAAGCTTCCTCTGGCAGTGGTGAAGCTACCTGGGAAGGTGTGTGAGCTGATGAAGTTGAGGATGAAGCTTCAATTTGAGAAACTGAAATAATTTCTGAAATATCTTTCTCTTGAGAGTAAGATGACTGTTCCACAGGTGAAATCTTCTGTGCAAAAGGAGACTCCTGTGTATCTGAAGGGCTATAATCTACTTCCGTCGGTCCATTTTCAGAGATATGGTGTACACTACTGCCTAGAGCAGGATATTCTGGAGACTGCCTACTAAAATCCATTGCTAAAGACTGCTCAGGTGACTCCTGACCATATTCTACTGACATAGCTGACTGCTCAGGAGATCTGTGATCAAGCACTGGTGTTCTTGATTTTGCAGTTTTAGGTGAGAAATCTGGTGGAGAAATTGACATAGGCCTTGGGCACTCTTCTTTAGATGGAGACATTTCTGTTTCCTGAAAAGTTGTTGGTGTTTGTACAACTGACACGGAAAGAGAATCATCAACTTCAGTAGAGTGGGGAGAACCAACCTCAGCGTGCAAGGAAGGAGATACATCATCAGTAGTTGGTTCTGGAAATGAACTAGTAGCAACAGATGCTGTAGAGACAGAAGCTACTCCTTCTATATGGGAATAGGTGTCTTCTGCAACAACCTCATCAACGGGAGTTGCAGACTTGTCAGAGACAGTGCCTTCAGAAATTGACATTTTAGTATCTTCTTTTAAAGAGCCAAACTGACTGATATCTATTTGAGTTGGTGAGAGATCACCTGCTAACTTCCGCTCATCCAAGACCAGTGAAGACTGGGAGCTGCTAGGTTCTGTATCCTCCATTTTCCTTTCCAGGCTGAAGCCTTCCTTAATTACCATAAACTCCATGCTTTTTTCATCTTGTTTTTCTTGGAAGAGGCCCACAGAGCTTGCTTCAGAAGCTGGGCTCATCTGAACAGGTGATTTTTCTTTTTCAGGTTTCCCCTCAGAAGGACTTCCATAATCTCTGGTGGGAGACTTTAAATCAGCACTCAAAAATGTATCGTAAGTGGTCTCTGAACCTATCAGTGGAGGACTCCGCAGAGGTGAGAGAACCTTTTCAATGGGGGATTCTGAATCTGGCACAGGCTCATCCATGGGGCTTATTCTGCATTTTGCAGACTCATCTTTGTCTTCACTGAACTCAAAGCTAACAGGGGCTTCTGTTGACTTTTCACTGGTTTCAGAGGGCAGCTGACTGGACTTTTCATCAGTGGGAGACTGATAATAAGGTGTGTGGCCAGCACTACCAGCAGCAGACTGTGATGGAGATGCTACTTCTAATGTTTTATCTTCAGGGCTCGTGCAGTGCTCTTCAGCAACTTCCTGGTGTACATCAGGCAATTTAGCAGTAGGGACAGACTCAGAAGGAGCCTTGATCTCATTGGGAGTGAGCGAAAAGTTCACACTACGTTCACTCAGTGGTGTTTTGGCAACAGGCGATGGAGGGGACAAACTGTCAGCTGGACTCTTGGCTGAACTATGTTTTCCACCATCTTCTTGGTAGGGTTCTCTGATTTCTAATTTGTCAGTGCCTTGGATTTCACTTTCTCTTTGCCGGTATACATCTTGGAATGCAGATTTGCAGAATTTGTCTTCTTCTAATGAAGAGGGTGGTGAGATGGTGGAAGCTGAGGCATTATAATCCTTACCTTCTGTGGCCTCTGTCTTGGATCCTTCGGATAACCCATTAAAAGCATCTGGAAGTGGAGAAAGTTTAGCTCTGCTGAACTCTTGAGAGTAGAGTGATGTCTCATACTTGGTAATGTTCACATACTCCTGAGAGGGTGACTCGCTTTCCTCATTGTTAGTTTCATCACTCATAACATCTCGGGGTGTTGACATTTCATCCATTGGAGTTGGTTCACTGGATATTTCAATGGTGGACTGTGTGTAACCTGAAGTAGCAGTGAATTCCTCAGGTTGATCTTCTCTATTTTCTTCATCAGAAACAGTGGCTTCACTTTCTGAACCACCAGGCAGTGTCTCATCATGGATAGAAGAAGCTGGTTCAATCACAGGAGACTGAGACTCTGAGCGTTTGGTTGGTGTAATTATGAGTAGGCCATACTTATCCTCAGTTTCACCAGATTCTGCAGCTTTGTCTACCACAGCCATCACGTAATCTTCTTCAGCTTCTGTTTTTTCAGTTTCTTCTTCATCTCTGATGTCTTCTGCTTTGTCTTCCTCATCTTCTTCAGTCTCTTCAGTTTCTGCCTTTTCTATCGCTTCTTCCCTGTCTTCTTCAGCTCGTTCATCAGATGCCTCATAATCTGCCTTTTCAATATAATTTTCATCTTTAATGTTAGTATCTACTTGAGTCATTACTTTTTCTGAGCCACCTGGAATTTTTCTTGATTCTTCCACGTATGGTTTTGTGGCATCCAGTTGTGTTTTTTCTACTTCATTTTCATCTCGTTCTTCAGCTTCTTCTGTCTCTGCCTTTTCTTCATAATCTGCTTCAGATGATTCTTCCAAGCCAGTTCCCTCATCTTCAAACTTTTCATTGTCATCAACCTTGTGTTTTCCCACAGGTTCCAATTCTTCAGGTGTCTGTTCACACTCACCCTCAGCCTCTGTGGTTGTTATGCCTTCATCGGATGACTCAGCAGGTCCTTCATTATCCAGTTTTTCTTTTTGTACTTCAAAGGTGTCTTTTTGTACTGTGCCAGTGAGTTTCAGATCGTCCTTTATAAGTGCAACTTCAGATTTTGTTTCTTTTATTGTTTCTATCAGATTTTTCATCCAGTCACTGTTGGTAGTAGACCCTTGAGACTGTTCCTCTTCTAGTTCAGCTATCTTTCGCTGAAGCATGCTATTGATTCCTGGCAGATTGTCATCTCCGATGTGAGTGAGCAGAATGGAATCTACCCTGTCCAAGTGCCGGATAAGTTTCCAAAAACAAGATTTTCTTTCAGATCCTCCATTGATAAGCATATTGAATCCATTCACTGCGAACAATGCAGAGTCCCCTCTTCCCCCTGGAAAAATGTAACAGCAGGGTTTGGAGAGCTTCAAGAAACCTCCTGAGGTTGGAGGTTCCAAAATGTCGAAAGGTGATGGCACTTCTACTGATTCTGACAGATACTCTGTGAATTCAGAGAGTCCTTCCATCTCAGGCAATATGGAAGCTGAGTTGAGTTTAATGTTAATGAAGTCTTGAAGGTTGTGTCTGTCAAGGTTGGAATTTTTCCATTCTCCTTCCTCAGGGCAGAAAAGAGTTAAGCTGGCTTTGTTGGCAGGGTGTGTGGTGCTCAACAATTCACCAATCTAGGGTTATAAAACAAAAACACAAGAAGGTACACACAAATTTATTTTTAATGACAATTAATGCCAACAAATGTTTCCTGATCAGATAGATAAAACCTTTTTCATTTGGTTCTGCACTGGTGAGTCTCCATTCTACACGCTAAAGTAAGCTGGTATCACAATTATTTCACTGCCTTATTTTTCTAAAATACAAAGGAGGATGTTTTTTCTGGTCAGTACTGCCCAAAGGACAACAGGATACAAGGTTCCCCCTTCCCTCCTCCACACTTTATAGAAGGATGGTCCTAACTATTATACTGAGAGGGTATGAGGACTGTGGGGATAATGCAGCCTGAGCTGCCACTGTATGTCTCCCATGACATACAGGCTCTCCCAGCTGGTCCAGTCCATCCAGAAGAGACAGCCAAGTATCTAAAGGACAAAGTACAACCTCTTAACAGGCAGAGAGCAACTGCAACACAGAGGAGGCCAGCATCCTCCTCCGGGCAGTTGCCATCCTTTCTGCTTCTCTCATGGGATATATTCCACCACACCACTGTTTGTGCAGGTCTTTTTGTGGCTCCTGAAAAGCCAGTATTGCTCCTGGATTTATCAAGATTGGCTGCAGGAGAGTTTTTCAGAACAGTGATCATGAGATGGTGGAAGTCAGAATCTTGTGAGGAAGCAAAGCAGTAAGCAGGACTAGAATCCTGAACTTAGACCTCTTCAAAGAGCACTTGGAGGAATTCCATGGTTTAGGGTTCTGGAAAATATAGGGATCCAAGAGAGTTGGTCAGTGTTCAAGCATCCTTCCTTCAAGCTCAAGACCAGTATATTCCCATGAGCAACAAATCAGCCAAAGGAGTCAGGAGACCTGCATGGATAAGCAGGGAGCTTCTAGTAAATCTCAAATGGAAGGAAGAAATTTATGAGATGTGGAAAAAGGCACAGACCACATGGAAGAACTATAGGAACATTGTCAGAATATGCAGAGATGTAACAAGGAAGGTCAAGGCCCACCTAGAATCGAGTTTGTAAGGGCCATCAAGGACAGCAAGAAGGACTTCTACAAGTACATCAGCTGCAAGAGGAAGAATAAGGAAAATACGGGTCACTGATAAATCAGATTGGTCTCCTGGTCATGGAAGACTTAGAGAAGGTGGAATTACTGAATACCTTCTTTGCCTCAGTCTTTATTGAGGCCAGCCCTCAGATCTTGGAGATAAGGGAGGCTGGAGGAAAGGAAGAATTTCCTTGGTTCTAGGGGGTTGCATTAGAGATCAGCTGGGCAGACACAACATCCATAAATCCATGGGTCCTGATGAGATGCACCCACAGGTGCTGAAGTAGCTGGTAGATGTTGCTAAGACACTCTTTGAAAAATCATGGAGAAAAGGAGAGGTGGATGATGACTGATGACTGGAGAAAAGTCAGTGTTCCTCCTCTATTCAAAAATGGGAAAGAAAAAGGATCCAGGAAACTACTGGCCAGTCAGTCTCACTTCCACTCCTCGGAAGGTGGTGGAACAGATTATTCTGGAGGTATCACCAAGCAAATAAAAGAAAGAAGGTCATCAGGAGCAGTCAGCAAGGATTCCCCAAGGGAAAATCATGCTGACCAATTTGACAGCCTTCTATGATGGCAGGGCAGGACAGGTCAGTGAAGGGAGAGCAGTGGATGTTGTCTGCCCCCACTTCAGCAAGGCTTTGGACACCATTTTCCATAACATCTTCGTCAGTAAAGCTCAGGAGATGTGGGTTAGATGAACCGACAAAAAGGTGTATCAAGGACTGGCTGAATGGCAGAGCCCAGAGAGTTGTGATCAGCTGAGGAGAATCCAGTCTTATTCAAACTGTTTATCAACAACCTGAATGAAGGGATGGAATGCACCCTGAGCAAGTTTGCTGATGATACCGTGGGGAGCGGCTGATACACCTGAAGGCTGGGCTGCCATTCGGCATGACCTCAAAAGTCTGGAGAACTGAGAGGATGAATTTCAACAAAGGTAATTACAGGGTTCTGTACCTGGGGAGGTGTAACCCCAAGTACCAGTAACAGGCTGGGGGCTGAATTGCTGGGAAGCACCCCTGCAGAGAATGACCTGAGAATCCTGGTGGGTGGCAAGTTGACTATTTGCCAGCAAAGTGTCCCCATGGCCAAGATGGTCAATTGTATCCCTAGAGGATACCATTCCTGAAAAGCCAGCACCATTCCTTCCATCAGGAAGAGTACAGCCAGCACGCTGAGGGAGATGACCTCTACTCAGCCTTAGTGAGACCACACCTGGAGTGCTGTTTTCAATTCTGGTCTCCACAGACCATGAAAGACAAAGATCTACAGAGGGTCCAGCAGAAGCCACAGGGATGATGAAGGGACTGAAACATCTTTCTTAGGAGGTGAGAACATGGGAGCTGGGCCTGTTAGTCCAGAGAAGTCTGAGAGGTGTTCTTGTCAATACATATTAACTATCTCAAAGGCAGGTGTCAAGAGGATGGTGCCAGACTCTTTTCAGTGGTGGCCAGTGACAGGACAAAGAGCAATGGCCATAAGCTAAAACACAAGTTCCACTTCAAAGTGAGGAAGAACTTCTTTATACTGAGGATGGCAGAGCACTGGAACAGGATGCCCAGGGAGGCTGTGAAGTTTGCCTCTCTGGAGATATTCAAAATCCACTTGGACATGTTTCTGTGTCAACTGCTCTGGGTGACCCTGCTCTGGCAGGGGGCTTGAACTGGTAATCTCCAGACATTCCTTCTAACCCCTGTTCTGTGATTAAGAAACGAGTTAATACTTCAGATATGGAAACAACTGTAAGGTTTTGGGCCCCTCTCTCCAAGGAAGACACTGGGGAGCTTGAGCATGTTGAGAGAAAGACAACAGAGTTGGTGAAGGGCCTGGAGGGCAAGTCTGACAAGGAGTGGCAGAGTGAGCTGAGGTTGTTTAGCCTGGCAAAAAGGAGGCTCGGGGGATCTCACTGCTCTCTGCAATTGCCTATAAGGAGGGTGTAGCCAGGTGGGGGCTTGGTCTATTCTCACAAGTTACAAATGACAGAAGGGCAAGGAATGGTTTCAAATTGCACCAGAGGAAGTTCAGATTGAGTAAGAGGGAAAATTTCTTCCCCAAATGGGTTGTCAAACACTGAACCAGGCTGCCCAGGGAAGTGGTTGAGTCACCATCCCTGCAGGTATTTAAGATCTGTAGATGTGTTGGTGCTTGAGGGCAGAGTTTAGTGTTGAATTAGGAAGTGTTGGGTAAGAGATGGACTTGATGATCTTTGAGATTTTTTGCAACCCAAACAATTCTGTGAATTTGTTTTTTTTGTTCTTTGTAACAATTCTATGAATCTATGATTCTAAGTTTTGTACTTCTGAGATTCCAAGGTCCAGAGCCAAAGAAAGATCAAGGAAAAGAAATAGGAATAAAAATGCTCATCACTAGTTTGATTTAAAATTCATGGACCACAAAATTTGAAATCTAGAGTAATTCTATTAATTTTGACAGTATTACTTAATATTCTAGTATCAAAACCAACTGCTGCAATAAAGGCACAGAAAATACGACTTTCCATGCCATAGTACAAAGAGCCATTTTTTATTCCAGGGTTCTGAACTAAAAACCAGTATTTGATGGTACAAGATAAGTAGACAAACATGAAAAAGTATGACATATTTTACCTTATCTCAGTGTCACAGATACTTTCATTTGACTTTTTTAAACTGACAATTCAGTTAAATGTAGCTTATTTCTGTTCTACTTGCCCTTAAGAAAGAGACCACCAAACTTCTATAAAGAAGTAATTCAGATATAAAATGTCAGTGGAAAATGTGCCAGCATATCATCATGCAAAATATCATAACCTTCTTTGCAGAGATTCAGTTGTCAGTTCAAGATTTAAACAAGATTTAAGAACATTTTTCTTAATGATGATATAGATAACACTCCAGCTGAATAATTGGGAATTCTTGGACCACAAGCTGTATCAACAGAGGAAACTAATCTATGAAACATTAATGATGGTCAATTGTGTTGGATCTCTTTGGGCCTCTCTGTGTGTAGGTCTCACTTTTTTCTTTGTGTTATGTAACTTATTTTTTAGCATTCACCAAACATAGAACTCAAAAAAGATGCAGTTGCTGTTTTAAAAATACCAGTCCAACCAAGAGATAAATAAAGCCCAAAACAAATATTTTCTACCTTCCTGTATCCTTGTTATTGAATAGCTAAACCATTTGACAGGAGTATAAATAAATCTCACCCATATGTCAGATATGGCCCTATCTGAATGACAGCAAATAAAAAAAACAAAGCAGAAAGAATAAATGGAGAAAAGGCTGAAAAGGATAAGAACAATAAGGGAACGATTACTGTTGTTTATTGCAGAATTAAGAAAAGAGGGGAAGCAAAGATGACGGCTTTGAAATGGATTTAGATTGTCAAAAGTACTCCTTATGATATGTCTCTGATCAGGGTTGAAAGCACATTATTACGGAGAGCCAAATGTAATAAAAAAATCCTTTCCTCTGAATAAATAAATCCAAGTCTGTTGCATGCATAAGGAAATAAAACTGGAGTACAGACAGTTTCTCATAAAGAGCTTATTTTCTGTCTAGATAAAAAAAAAAAAACCCTATATGGTAGCACACTGGGCTAATGAATATACTGTGTCAAGGTTCGGGGTGAGTCCTCTCCAGTTTCCATTATACCATATTTGGTTTTCTGCTTCATACTTCTAAATTCTGACTTTTTTGCTCCTTAAAGTTGGCATGCATAATGCAGATGGTGTTAAGCCACTGGAAGTCCAGGCTAATGAAAAATTAAAGGAAGTTTATTCCAGGCACAGATTTTATCTGTTAAGAATAGCAAATTCAGTCATGCCTCAGGAAAAAAGTATCAATGGATTTGAATTTCAAATGATGACACTAGGGAAAAACAGTAACACAAAGATGTAGCCACTCCTCCAAATTCAAAACTGTGTAAGCAAAGAAATATACCTGTAAATCTGAATAAACCTTTTTTAAACATTGAGAGACATCTGTTGAGGAATGCTTGAGTTTTAAAGGTGTCACAGCCAGCGAAGACAAATAGTAAGTTGGCTGCCCAGAGAAAACGCGGTTATTACTTCCTACCCTGAATCACAAAGGTACAAAGAAAGACGTTCCTGTTCTAGCTGTTGTTGCAGAAGCAGGGGAATGGGACATTTCCACCTTCCCACATAAGATAAATTGAAAATCCTCTTTCAGGCTTTTCCTGAAGAGAGTTCTTCATGCTAGAGACAAATTTCTGAATTAGACTTTATACAAGTATCTCCTGAAGTGTATTTACTTATTTGCAAGCACTTTCCTTGACCTTAGTTCAGGTTTGGCTCAGTGAAGTAAAAATGGGCAGAGGCCAGAAACACTTACTCCCACCCTACATGGTCCTAGAATCGTAGAATTGTTTAGGTTGCCAAAGACCCTTAAGATCATTGAGTCCAACTGTAAATCTGGCACTGCCAAGTCCACTAGGATCAGGACAGCACAGTAATTCTTTCATCTCATCACCACATAGAAAACCAGCAGCCACTTTTTCTAGACCTTTTTCCTAATTATTTTTTTCAATTTTTAAAAAATATTGCACACATGAACTGCAGGATGACAACCATGATCTTTCTTTGGTTTTGTGAAAGCTTGCAGACACACTGAGACCCCAGAGCTTCAGAAACAATAGGCTGGAAGTCAGCACTTGCTGAGAGCCATGGCAGCTGGCTGGTGAGCACGCTGCCAGCCACAGAGATGAACCAAATGAGCCTTACTCATAGCCCATGGGAGTGTGTCCTGAACACCCACTACTGCAGCAATCCCACAGCATCTGCAACTCATGGCCAACCCCCCCC